TGTATGGCAAATTATCTGCATTTGTAATTGAGAAACTAAAAAGAAACTAGGCACCATGAGTGCTCAGGGGCCCACAGCCCACTTGTTAAAACTTAACAAAAACCAGAACCAGCCTTATCAAAAGGCTGCAGGACAGGCAGGCGTCGGTCAAGCCTCACAGATGAAGCCATAAACAAGACAGAACTCCTGACCACCCTGAGGGCCCGATACCAGGAAATCTTTAGAAAACGTCTGTGCTTCTGAGGTCACCTCCCATTTAGCAATCCTATTTCCCCTCAGCCCCGGACCTTACCCCATACCTCTGCATACCTTTGAAATTGCTGGTGAAATTACTATATGTGTTTGAAATTAACCAATAACCGCATTTCTGCTTCTGTACCCTGCTTCTGCCTTATAAAAACCCCCTGAACCCAACCTGAGGCGCGCAAGTCCTCCGAGGAGACTTTGTGCCCACAGGTACCTGTGTCCTAAATAAACCTCTTGCTGTTGCAGCCCAAAGGCTGACTTGTCCTCCGTGGTCTCACTCTTACAACAGATAACAATTATCAACAGGGTACTAGGTTCAAACCCATGGTAGATAAGTCTACATCCTGAACCCACTCAGAGAGGGCAAAGTCCCAAGGGTGCCCCTCAGAGTTCAGAGAAAAATCTCAAGTAAAGTTTGTGAAGTGACCTTCTGACAAGGAAAGACAACTTTAATTCGAGTTTCAGTTGTGTGTCACGTAGTATGAAATCCTAGTTCATTCAGGCTGGCTGATGAAGAGTATGACAGAAGGCATCCTTGTTCACATGGACTGAAATGCTATAGAAGTGTTCACTCATCCAGTCCTTACCAAACTCCTCCTTCTTGGAACATGGCTAATGGTCCCATCTGTCTGTGGTTTCTGTGTGTGGGAAATCACCTGTTAGGCAGAAGTGTTTGTCTACACAGTGCTGTTCACCAGCCTCCCCTATTTTAAAACCCCCTGAAGAAATTTGACAAGCAGAATCCTCAAGCTTTTCCCAAGGAGTGAGAGTATAGAATTGTGTGGTGATCTTCATAAGGGTAAAAAAATCCAGGATTAATTTGAGAAAGGAATTGCAAGGAAAGTGTACAAAACCATGTAAAATTTACATACAATTTTATGGAAAATAAGTATAATCATTAATTTCCATACTGTTGATGATTATCCTTCCTCTACAGTAGGAAAACTGACCCCTTGCTACAGTGATCTACTGGCTCTGAAAGACGAAAATGATCAACCTTCTGAGCCTCCATAGAACGTGTTTCCTTCTTCAGGATAAGCTATGGGTCAGTGGCCAAAACCAGGCCAAAGATCATCATAGATAAACCAGGCGTAGTGGTAGATCCTTTTAATCCCAACACTTGGGAGGCAGAGGCAGGTGGATCTCTCTGAGTTCAAGGCCAGCCTGGTCAACATGAGTTCCAGGCTAGCTGGAGCCATAGCAAGACCCTGTCTCAAAAAGACTGAAAAAAAAAAGAAAAAAAAAAGAAAAGAAAAGAAAGAAGGAAAAAGAAAAGGTTAGAATTTGTTCCTCGTTGTTCCATTGATGCTTCCAAATACTCACTGGTGTTAAACCTGAATGATCCCGACTTCTTTGCAAAGAGCTCTTTATTCAGGAGATCTTTGACATCACTTGCCACAGTATCAAGGAAGTAACTTTGCCAATAATTGGTCTTCTTGAAGTAAAAGCCGGTCCCCCAGTGACTGAAGAAACAAATCCAACGTTTTCCCATAGTTTTTCAAGAAAGGTCTTGTCTTGGACTTCTCTCAACAGATGTGGAGACTTGATGTACGCCTCGAGGTCATTCACAGACATATTAAAGTCCTTGGCAATATTTTTCAGTGAGCCATGATCCAGACCAAAGTAAGACCTGTAGAGATTCAAGGTCTCTTCCATATTGTCATCTATGTACATGCCCCCTAATGGAAGAGTGGCTATTAACCCACTCTTCAGGGCCTCTAGATAGACTTTCTGCTTCAGGGAATCCCTCTTTAGGTTAATGGCGTCCTCTGTCACACTCTGCAGGGACAACATGAAGATGTGGCGCTTGTGGGCTGGGAGCTCACTCAGGAGGGTGGACTGCAGTTGGGGAAAGTCATAATCAGCCACATCAAAGCTAGAGACTAAGAAGACTGGAGGATTTCTGCAGAGAGCCTCACAGAGATGTCTCAAACTGTCATCCCGAATTCTCTGCAGGACACTCTCCTTATTGAAACTCTTGGGTTTACTCCTTTGCTCATTGCTTATATCATTATCCACCTTGGTTCGAACAAAGTAGAAATTCAGATTCATCTTTGCAATGGCTTTGGCCAGCTGTGCATCATTTTCTTTGAAGCGCGTAGCAGAGATGATGATGAAGAAATCATACTCTTGAAACTTCATTTCCGTGAGGTAATTTTCTGGTTTGAAGGTGGTGGACCCAATGCCGGGCAGGTCCCATATTGTCACTCTGGGGAACTTTGGGTGTTGGTATGGTGTTCTCTCCATGGTGGTCTCCACTGCCCCAGTGGCAGCTGAACCTTCTTCTTCATGCCCCAGTCCCCTCAGGGCATTGATGAACGTGGACTTCCCTGCCCCAGACTCCCCTGTCACAGCAATGTTCAGTGGGGCATTCTCAATATCTCTCACTGCATCACTGATTACGGAAAGTGCTTCCTGGGTATCTTTATTTTTCAGGTGGTTTTCAATCAACTGAATCTGGTCCTCAGAGATGATTTTACTTTCCCTCTTGAAATTCTTAAAAAATCTGTCAAAGTTGGAGGTCACATCCAGGTTCACTGAAGGAGAAGTTGCAGACGAGCTTGGCTTGTCCATGGCCTTTGTAGCGGATGCTGAATGAAGGAGGGGAGAGGGAAATTGTGCATGTTAGCAAACCAGGGCAAGGTCTAGGAGTTTGCTGTTAGAGGAAGGCAGGACCTCGGCCTCTGTACCACATTAGACTAAAAAGGATCTTTCCTCCCCATTCCAGGACACTGCCTAGACTTCGAGCTTGGAATGCAAGTACCTTTTTGCTCAGGCTCCTAGAAATTTCCTCATCCTTCCCTGTCTAATTTAAAGCCCATTTCCTCTACTTCCTAATGGTCATGCACCACCCCTGATCCTACAGTCTTTCTGCCCCTCTCCCACTACAGCTCCTGAGCCCTGGGTGGATGAGGTTCAATACAGGAGTTCTATCCAGGGACACACATTCTGCAGATTCTTATTCTCTACTCTTTGGCCAGTTGGGGCCTTTTTTGTTTCTCGCCCTCTGTCGTGTGAGGAAGCCTCACTGATAAGAGCTGAGAGGTGCATTAGTATTCTCTCTATCCCTTGGATGCACTGTGTTCCATGAGCTTTAGCTGTAGAATTCCCTTGTAGATGTGTCACTTAGGGCTAGGCCTCTCACAGACAGGTATGCTGTGTGTTTGACCAGTCGAGGAACTCTGGAATAGGCTCCGTCTATTGCAAAAGAAGCTTTTTTTGATGAGTAGTAACTGATATACTTGTCTGTAAATCCAAGGATCCATATTTACTATGTGGTAAGAAATTATGTTTGTCTAGGGATGTGATAGACATAGGCTTTTCTCTAAGATCTATGACGTCTCCAGCCATGTGTATTTGACTATGTTTACAATGTTACACATGAGTTCTCTCCCACTGAGTGGGCTTTAAGTCCAAGTAGAGAGCTGTTAATTGCCCCCAAGATAGAAGTGCCACTACTACACCAATCTAGTCTGCTGTGCCAGTCATTGTTGCGGTTATTAGGCTTTACATCTGGGGTTTGGACCATTCATTCACTTTTCTCCCTTAGCAGCTTGCATAGTATCTTCTGATACTGTGAGAGCTAGTCTTCAGGGAGGAAGCTTCCAGCTTAGTTCCAGCTCCAGTGCTCCAGGTTCTGTATCTGAAGTATGTCCTGTCTTCAGCAATTAGGTCTTACCTTCAAGTTTGGGAGGTAATCAAGGGCTGCGGCAATAGCCTGTGCCATTTTGGGAATTTCCTGGACATTCCTGACCAGCAGCTTGTAGGGAGACTTCTCCTGTCTGGCACTGTGTTTCTTGTTATACAGCCGCAGCTATTCATATGCACTCACGTTCAGATATCACAAGTGTATTTTCAGTAGGCTTTTGAACAGACGTGTATACCAGGCAAAGTTTTCTGTTATGATTGTTGGAGAAAGAAAAACATTCCACGATGAAAGCTGGCTAAAGGAATTTACGACCTTTAAGTAAGTCAGCTCTACAGAGTGTATTAGAAGGAATGCACAGGACTGAAGAGGTAAAAACATCTAAGCGCCTATAGGCAAGAAAATAAATGACGCTTGGACAGTACTTAAGTAAATGAACCTCGGAAAACCACCAAGCACTACAAGGTCGACAACATGACAAGAATTAATTAATGCCTCTCAATAATAGCTTTGAACATCAAGGGTCTCAGTTCTCCAATCAAATGACAAAGATTAGCAGACTGGTTTAAAAAGCATATTTCATGCGTGTTACCTCCAAGAAGCACACTTTACCATAAAAGACAGACACTACTTTACAGTGAACAGAGAGAAAACGTATTGCTGGCACAGAGACTGAGGAAACAAGCAGGCATCACTGTTACAATATCTGACAAAGCAGTCATCAAACCAATACCAAGCAGAAGCCATACACATTGTCATCTCATCCACCAAGAAGACATTACAATTGTGCGTGCATCCTACACAGGTACACCTCATTGCAGAAAACAAACACTACTGGCTTTAAGGTTGCAGATTAACCCCAACACCACAATAGCGCACACCTTCAATACCACTCTTTTACTAATAGACAAATCATTCTGACAAAAGGAAAACAGAGAAACATGAGAGCTAAATGACATCATAGATTACTTGACTTTAGCTGATACCTTCAGAACATTCCATCCAAACACTGAAGAATACACATTCTTCCTGGCAGCACACGGAGTTTTGTTCAGAGCAGATAATATACGAGGCACAAACTCAGTCTAAACAAATACAAGACAATTGGAACAACTTCCCGTATTCTGTCTGAACGGAGTGAAATAAAGCTAGAATACACCACAAGTGAAACTTCAAAATGACACAAACTCATGGAGACTCAAGCACACAGTGGTGGGTGAACAGCGTGTCACTGAGGAAATCATGAACAAATTAAAGCATCCCCAAAACTGAATGAAAATGATCTGAAAACCAAATCCGTGAGGCTATTCCTAATTTCATGACCACACAGAAAGTGTGGGATAAAAAAATCAATGTGCTGTTTTTTTCAGAAAATTATAACATAGCTCTCCCGGATTGATGGGGTCAGTATTGGAGATGACATTCGTTCTGAAGACGGTATTTGAAAATACCTACTCCTTTAAGTAGAAGTCGGTATACTGTCGTTGGCTCAGGGACGGGACTAGTGGGTTTCAACAATTTCACAGTGCCAGATGGTGCCCGAAGTTGGTTCTGGTGCTAGCATTTTTACCTCCATGGAGAAAACGAAGAGCTTTCAGCCTCGACTCAAAGAATATCTGAGTAGCACAGTTTTCCCTCTTTCCCTAAGCTTGAGCTATATCAGAAGACCCACAAAACCAGGAGTATGCTGGTGAAGGGAAGGTATGTGGCTCCTCTCTGCTGACTGTGAGCCGTGTGTTGCAGAAGATGGTCACAGAAGAGCTCTACTGTGGTCACTGAGTCATAAGCCACAAGCTCTCCTGCCCTGGTGTCAGGGGTTCACTTTTCAAGTTATCACATAAGCAGAGTTGTTGGCCAAGCTGATCACAGAAGCCCTTCACTTACCTTCTCTACAGAGGTGACTGGGATCAGATGGCAGTGGTGTTTCTTGATGTCTCTTCCTCTCTCAGGAATGGTCTTTGCCCTCTACCAGAAGCAGGTCCCTATGGAGTGATCTACAACTGAAATTCTGTGTCAGGATGTTCAGGAAGAAAGGGTGAGGTGAGGAGTTTTGAGTTCCTCTTAGGAGAGCTTTGTAAAGAAGCGTAGAGGATAGATTATTCTGGCTCTTTCTCATCCCTGGTCCACACACAGCCCTTGGTCTCTGCACTTCCCTTTAAGATCTGTGTCACAGACATCCCCCCTCCAAAAGGGAAGTGTGATGGACAGCTTTAGTGTCAACTTGATACACCTGGGTAGAGGGAGACTCAGTTGGGGAATTGCCTCCATTGGACTGACCTCTGGCCATGTCTGTGGGGTAGTCTCTTGATTGCTGAGTGATTGGGGGGAGGGCCCAGCCTATTGTGGGTGGTACCATCCCTGGCAGGTGGGCCTATGTTGCATAAGGAAGTAGGCTGAGCAGGGGCCAGGGGCGCAAGCCAGTAAGCAGCATTCCTCCATGGTCTGTGCTCCAGCTCCTGCCTCCAGGTTCATGCTCTGAGTTCCTACTGTGGGCTCCTGGATGAACTGTGACCTGCGCTATGTAAGCTAAATAAACCTTTTCCTCCCCAAGTTGGTAGTGGTCAGAGTATTTTGTCACAGCAATGAAGAACAAACTAGGACAGGAAGGGACTCCAGTTTGCACAGGTTTGGGTTTCTATTCTCAGAAATGATTGTTTTTCAGAGTTTAGATGGAACAATCAACACATTCTTCTTTAGAGAAAGTCACAGCTAATCTAAACTATTTAAAGTTCAAGTGCAGGGGGAACAAAGACTTCCAAGGGACCATGACAGTGCAGGGTCATTGCGTCCTGAGTTTGACCTTCCTGCTTCTCACCTGGAGAACAAACTCAGATGATGGCACCTACCACTGGGCAGTGTAACCCTTCAAACCAGGGAGCCCTGGCAGCTCGGATGTTTGCACACTCACTGCAGCCTTGCTCACTGTATTTCCTGGCTCACTTGCTTCCCCTCGGTGATGAACTTCATGAAAGAAAATGCAGAAGCAAGAAAGAGTGGTGGGTCGACTCCTGTCCCTCAGTATGTCTGTCGTGGGAAGAATGTCTGATCCAGGTGACAGGGATGTAGGAAATTCATTACATCCTGGAATCTTTTTTACTTCTGACTGGAAACAGTCAGGACACCCTGACCATGGCCTACAAACTCTAACACCTGTGGGACATTTCCAAGGAAAGGAGGAGAGTTTCCTAGCAAAGGGTGATGCAGGGGTGGGGAAGGGGAGCCATGCTGCTTCCAGAGATTCAGGTCAACTGTGCAGTTACCCTCCCTGCCCTCCTGGTACATCCTATCAAGATCTCCATGGATAGCTGTTAAAGAGGAGCAGGATCAGACAGCAGAGATGTGCTTCTTACATACTTGGGGACTTGGGGAAAGAGGGGTCCTGGATCCGAGGGAGCATCGGAATTTCCAGCAGGTATGCACTGCTCCAGTACCGTGAGCACAAATCCTACCCTCTGAATAAGACTCAGTATTCCACAGAGACTTTGGCAATGTGACCCTGAGAGATCCAATCCTGCCAAATCTCTTCTCCTCTCCTCTTTTCTTCTCTGTGATCTCTCACTCCTTTCTTGGAAAGACGGCGTTTATAAGAACAGGAACCAATCCCTGTGCCTATTAATAGACAATGATGTGAGGAAAATTCAGAGGCCTCCCTCCTCTCCCTGCCCCATGTGCTCAGCGTCCCTGTGAATCCCGAGGAGAAACGAAGCTGCTGTCAACCTCTCCCAGGTTTCAATCCCTACGTCAAGACTGGCCGCTTCTGTGTCCTGTGGCCTTCACGTGATATCCACAAGAGCGTATCTGTGGGCTGTACAGGAAGCAGCTCAGGAGGAGAGTTCTAGAACTTTGCATTTCAGTGAT